TTCCAGGCCGATGACAACGTACATGCAGCTGCAGCAGCCGGCGATGCAGGTTCCTGTGCGCTATCAGGACCAATCATCATTCGGGCGATCGTCTACACCAAGCATTCCGACAAATCCCTCTCAGGCCATACATCTTTCAATGCTGGGAAACTCTGCCACTGCCGCCGCGTCACCAAGCATCGCCCAGGTGGTCGGGCAGTACGCTTCGCCTTCACCCGGTCCCAGCCTAGTCGGTCCTTCGCCCGGCTACGCACAGGACTCGTCACCCGCCTATCAATATATGCCCCCGTCGAATCTGTCCGTGCCCAGAAGCGTTCCAGGCAAGTTGTCCGATCGATTGGCTGCCTGCCACTGATGAACGTTGCTGCTTGACAAACCGCCTAACGCCTGCATGCATGTGGTGATATACTTTCTTTCAGAACCAAGCCCAACATCGTCCGTAGTAGATCCTAACATAGCGGAAAATCCGGCGTACAAGGAGAAAATCCGTGAACTGCAGGTGTACCTCGAAACCCTCAAGAAACTGATGGACCAGCATCAAAAGGACGGTGCCGGAAGTAAGTCAGCGTCAGTCATATGACACGATAAGTCTTCAGCGAACGATATCATTCAAAGCAAAGTAGTTCTATCCTGATTGTTTGATGTCCTTCTCTAAAGGCTTATCGTTGTTGTTTGTAGATTACCTCCTTCAGCCGTCTATGAAAATGTGGAGTCTAATTTGTGATGTCTGGTACATCTACACTTTCTAATACTTTTCCTGTAAGGCACGAGTTACCTCACTACAGAAGAAAATATTTCTCTCTTAAAGTAGACCCGCCTCTACCTTGTTCCGCCATGTTGCATGCCAGACGTCTTGTCGACGTCTACTGTGTTTGGCTCGGGAAAAGCTCACTGGCTGGGTAAATGGTGTATACTGAGCGTGTTTGCCTAAAAAGACCAACCTTCGTTCTTTAAGCTCCACGTCTACCAAGGGTACCTGTGCTCTGAATAAAATGGAGTAATTCCTTACGTCGTCCAGCCATTTAAATTAAATTTCTCTTTCACCTTGTTCTGATTTTTAATCTTCTGTAAGGTGGAACAGGGCGAATTGCAGCCGTAAAGCTCGCGCATTCGACAGCATGGCCGTATGCCTTGCGGGCTTTGGCAGGACCACACCAAACGACCATCTTGTCTCAGTTATTCCTAGATCAACGTCCTGCTACCACTTTTGCCAGTGGTTGCAGTGAAGCACAAGGGTGTGAATTCTTTACTCATGGAAATCAGCAGTTGATAAGAGAAAATTCACTCCGTGCCCTACGTTTGAGCCCGCCCACTAACGTAGTAGTAACTTACTAACGAACAGCGCCACCACCCCGTCGCTAACCATAGTACATTTAAACCTCATTATGTGTCGAAAAAAAGCTGTTCGACAGTCGTTCTTGCTGCTTCGTTAGAACAGGCAACAGGTTTCAGAGGCAGGTGGAGTTTTGTGGAAAGTGATATCACTTTCTCGGCCCAAATGTTTTACAGGTTTTGAAATGCACTCGAGGCAGGGCCGGTCCTCAGATTTTACTCTGGCGATATCTATTGCAGTTGCAGGAGATGAGTGGAACCGAGACACTTAAATTGGCATCTTTCAAGCACTTCACCTCTATGTTCCAACTGTAAATCAGCTATACCTGATCGGTTCCTCATGATTTTAATGAAGAGACTGGCCCTCATAGTG